ACAACCTTAAGGTCACCTATCTTGGATTTACTTGGCCGAAACATTGTCCCAGAAAGTCGGAATCCAACATCGCACACAAATGTCAGAAGGAATTCAAAGTTACCCTATAAACTTTCACCAAGTGAATCTTTTAATGCCTACAAAGAATGACACACTCAAGTGTCTAGTATTCATTATCCTTTCATCATTTCAGATGTACGGTTTCAGGAAAAACGGCTCTGATGTATTCACTACGGTAGATAGATGGATCAGCTTTCGATATCGTAAAGAAAAGATGGAACAAAACTACATCGACTTTTGTAAAGCGGGGTCAGCTGTATACATCGTATCAGCAATTTACAGCTGGTAGGTATTACGTTAACATTGACAGACTATCACAAGACATATTTGAATGGTCAAATTTCCAAGCTCAACGTAAATCTCGCGTTTTCTTGGGCTGTACCCAGGGATTCAGAACTGGGATGTTCATTTCCTTTCAATGTGTTTAAATGATCCTCAGCAAGGATCACTTGAAATATCCTGACAATGTGAAGCCATGAAGAGAACTTTTCGGTCTGTATAAAATGCCCAAACTTCGGCAAGATGATATTGTGCTTGGACGAACGACAATAGGCAAGAGTAAACCATCTGTAGTGACTCACTTTTATCATGAGAAAACGATTGGTTTATTGAAGACAATTATTATTATAACCAAGTGTACCAGTGTTTGTTTTAATGTGCTTTTGTTTGACTGTGCTAATGACAGCTATATTGTGCTTCCATTCTTATACTCACACTTCGATTGTAACTTCGCGCGAATTTGGTTACGTTCTGTAGCCAAGCTTGTATCCTGGCACGATCTCGGTATCCTTTCGATACCACGAGATCGCCAGCCAATATATCTCGAATTGGTACATTAACCGCCTTCTGATATTTGGCTTCTCGGGGATTTTATTATTATTATAATTATTATTATTCACAAACATCTTATGGGTACATAAGTGTTGTGAAGAAACCATTTCGGGTTTCTTCAGAAAATGCAATAATACACAATTTTCAATAATGTTAGCATTATACTTGCTATATCGAATATTTCAACCTGTATATGCTCCAAAAGTAAGGTTTACTCATCTGTTCCCATTTGGTTTACCCGCAGTTTCAGGGTTGTCGAAGATAACTAGTACTGAAGGTCAGTTTATTCTTTTTGAAGCTGGGAGACCTTAAGAAAATCGATGCTTTGGACACTGCCGAAATAAGTTGTACGAAACAAAACGTCTGCAAGTACATTATTTGCCCCAGAAACGTGTCGTATATCTGAAGTAAACTAGGAAACGTAGTCCAGTTATCGAGGTACTCGAGTAAAATACTTGTCTGGAGAAGAGCTTAGAGAGATGAAGGATTAATGGTCGATAAACAGAGTGAATTCTCGACCTTCCATGGAATGTTGCAAGTGGCATACAGCACAATATATGGATAAGAATTGCGTACCGAAAGTGCTACACCTCAATTAAGTGCCTTGCACTTGTACCGAGAAGAATGCCAAAGTTTGCCAGTTATCGTTTACTCGTTGTTTTAAGACTCCTCTGATTGCCGAGTCGAATGCGTCTATTGCGATACTAATGGGTGCTTTGATATCCTGGTGTAGGAGCATAGCTGCGTAAGCCATAACTTCCCTGACTGTGAAGAATGCTTTTTTCACCTTGTCGTCCAGATTGTTGAGCTTTCACGCGGTTGGCCTGTTGAAGGTCTCATGAAAGACGTACAATTCGGTATGAGCCGTTTATGAAAACCTGCCAGACTGTTGAATGTACTTAATTGCTTGACTGTGGTCGGTTCTTAGTAATCCAGAATAACCGCCACTTTGAATATCAGAGGGAGGATAACTTAAACTTCAATAGCGTGCTCGAGAAAATTCGAATACTCGTTGCCAATTTAATATTTCCGAATGTTTATAGTTATGCCATGCTTTGGGAGTCGTTCAAAGACGAGGTTCAAATACTGAAGAGGAGATGAATCTCTGGAAATTGTGTGCAGCATTTCTTAAACCTATGGGCATGCAGAAAAGCCCGTGGAGGTCAAAAAGGGTGACAACAACGGTTTCAGGAATGTCTCCAGTAACTATGTGAATCTGGTTATACGCATTTACCAAATCGATTTTCCAAGAACCAGCTGTATCTTTCACGGTCAGATAGTAATCAATCGAACGTGCAAAGGAGATGCCTGGATGATTTCTCAGTTTACCATGTGTTTGAATTGGTTTTTGGCCAATCTTAGATTTCCGGTGGCTAATCTGTGCGTTTTCGAGAGTACAAGTAATCCTGTAGTTTTGATGTGGTGTGCAACATTGCTGGTTACATACGGTGACTTTGTTCGTGTACGGTACAGTTTGGAGTACTTGTCAAGTATCTGTTGATAGGATGGGTGGATCATATGCCTTATATTCTCATAAACATAGTTCTCTTTATTATCTTAAATAGAGCAATAACGGAGACTTGGGCCTTATAGTTACATCAATAGATAATTTAGTATTTCTACCCACTAACCTCCGTTTGCTCGGGTAGATGATCAGATTATGGTGTACCAATAATTACCAATAATTGGCATATAAACATCTGCAACAACGAAAATCCATTGAATAAATTTGCTCAAACCCACAGTGAGATAAACATCTATAACTCTATACGGCAGTCGATGACCGGTTTGTCACCTGTAAGTTGAAAACCGAATAATGCAGTCGTTCGTTAGGATTTACAGAAAGAACGGCAACTTCTGCGCCGTTGTCGACGAGGTAGCAAACTCCCATCATCACACCAGTGATGTACAACTGACGGCCGTATTCGCCGTATACGGTTGCCGTTAACGCGTGCAGGTGGGAAAGTTTCCGAAGAGTTCTTCGTGTCAGAAGGTTTGAAGATTGGGAAACTGCAGGGTTTTCTGTAATTCGTAGAAGACTTACCATGCTTATTTGGGTTACAACACCAATCAGGATTATCTATTTCTTGTGGTCTGGAGACAGATTGTTTTCGCGAGGAGCTTTCTCGAGGAGCTTGGGATCATCTACGAAAACGATGAATATTTAAGTAACAAGTAAGAGCATGGTGGAGGTCTGTGACGTCATTTTGTGTTGTTTGAGGCTTTTTGTTGACAGAAAATACCTCGACGCTAGGAATTCTGGTGATCTCTAGAATACGATCTGCAGGTGAATTCAGTTCGTCTATGGCGTTATTTTGAAATGAGACAAGAACTACCTGCATATACTTGGACAAGCTTAGACAAGAAGAGCTGTCTAAACAGGCCGTTATCATAGACCCGTTGACCAGCAATTCCTCACATAAGTAGCAACACTTCCTTTGCTGAGTCATGCTGCGGCTTGGTGTTGCGTGAGAAATGGTCTAACCTTTGTCGGTCGGTTAGGTCTCCACGCCTAAAAATATCCTTCTTCAGGGTGTTGTAAGGTTCTGAAGCATCCTTAATTAAGATATCAGGTATGACGTACCTGTCAAAATTTCGCGTGGTAGTGGCTTTATATAATTAAGTTCTAAGTTCGCTATTAGTGCTGCTCTAATAATAGACGCAACCCTAAAATTATAGATTTGTCATGATATGACTACCTCACATAATTGTCTACACTGACTTATCGTATCGTGATAATTAGCACTATGATACTTGTTACTTCTGAAGAACACATTGAGGCAAAAGATAGAACAACATATTTAAAGTGACTAGAAACAGGCTATACAGAATCTCCACGTCTGCGAGGTTAAGCCATGCCATTCGACTGAATCGAATATTTCCGCGTTCACCACTGTTGGTCTTCTCTCCGTGTTGAATGTTGAATATCTGTTTTTCCAGTTATCTCATGTTCAGCTTTGAGGATTGTGTGGTTATGATCAATACCACTAGACCTTCACTATTACGAGGAACTGTGCACGTTGATCTGTCACAACATGCTCGTGGAAATCAGCTTCTGGGTAGCAGAACCAGGCTTCTTTGTGATTGGGCCAGAATAGCATGAGCTGAAATGTGGGGGGGGGACAGAAATAGTCTTCATCTCAAAGAGCTTAAGTGTCTAGTCCGTCTTGATTAAGACAAGATATACCAATGAACAATAGAAAAATATACGAAAATATCTAAAGAAATACCGCAATATATAGAGGCCAAAACTAAAAACAATGACATTTTATGTTTGGGGTTTGATAACACTTTTATACGTAACACCTTTATAGACTTAGTATGCTAACTCAGTCAAATCAGAAGTCAGTAATGAAACGGGTTAGAAGATATATATGGAAGGCTACCAATAGGTCAAGAAGTGTTAGGTCCAAGCTGCCTAATAGTTGAAAGGGATGCGTGACGCGGCGCACGCACTCGTGGTCTGGTGCGGATGCATGACCGAGGACTTTCAGTTAAATGAGGTCGGCAAAACTAATGAAGTCAGCATCAATGCCGATAACTTACGGAGCTATTCATTTCGGACGTCAATTTACCACTAGCAGTACAACGAGGTTAAGACGATATGATATTAACATATCATACTTCTCACATCTTCATACACTCTGACAGTTAAATGACTTATTTTAGTACCAATTTACACTTGAGAAGGTATCCAATTAGGATAAAATGCTAATGAGCTAGCGCCAAAATACATACAAATGTTTTCATGATCTGGATCAATCAATTGCGGAATTGCTTACCACAGGTGATATTAACGGCATTTTATGCAAGATTTTCCAAATTAAGGTTTGATATTAACTTTAATTTAGTAGGCGCTCAGGAAGAGGTTACTCTTCTACCATATTTTTGTAATAACTAATTCAATTTAGCCCATATTCAGGAAGAAGATAACAAAGTTCATACTTCTTCGGTATCGAGAACGGTCTCTTACCATCCGGACACAGACCGCAAGAAACAAGTGGTTGGCTAATTCTCTCAAGTGAAATTTTACGTTTCACTGTTCCAAACTTGCGCGCGTTCGTGTTATTGGTTCTTGGTGTGTTTATGAACTATGACGGAGTGGGTATTCATATTTCATGAATGGGTTGTTTCACTGTCACATGTAGTTTATAACTTAGCAATTTGTATTAAAGGAGTTATGGTACATTTTTTGATAAAAATTCCATAAGTGTATATTGAGTTACTGGAAACTAGTTCATAATCCTATTCTAAATGCCCGAGCTCCCAATTTTGTGGAAAATTTAGGGAAGCCGCTATAGTAAACATTGGGGGAAATGGCACCAAAACCCCGATGTTTCCTCAAAATTTCCCTTTAACCCTGGTAAAGGTCATTTGACTTTGTGGGTTTTCCCAAAATTTTCGATAACTTGGGAGATTGGATGATCTAGGTAGTAGTGATTTTGTTGTTTGACAAGGTGGAATTCGAGATAATATTTAGTATATCTTCAGTCGATACATTCTCATTTCTTCCATTGATGTACTGACCAGGTGGTAGATAGACTCCTAAATGTTAACATTCAAGTGTCGTATTTGTGTACATAAGTACATTCTCACTTGATGATTCCTGTGAATTAATTTTTCTAATTATCCGATGAATAAATTGCGGTCACCAAAATACCTATCATCTACTTCAGTTCCACGTGATATCCGGTAAATTTGGTGTCAGATTATGTCGTTTCGACGTGTCTCTTAATTATTTAATGGTTTTTATTTATTTATTCGGGCACATGAATATTGGTACAGAGGAGCACCAAACACAAGCGCCACACAACAACAATGAGAATGTGAGGAGGTAAAGAGTGTAGAGTGCGTATAAGGAAAAGGAGAACAATAACGAACAGTAATTAGTGTGAGTGAAATAATGATGGTGGTGGAGACACTTCAGTTAGCAAAAGTACAACTAGAAAGAATTTTGGTTAAAGAAGTAACGTTCATTCTTTTATGAAGAAAGTAAAAGAAAGATACAACAGGATCTCCACTGACTTCTGTTCTGAGTCATGTCTGATAACGTCTCAAGCCAGTGTTGCAACATCTCTAGGACCCCAAGCAGGGAGTCGTGAAGGACCAATAGAAACCAGCCCTGTACAGCTTTCTATCATACCATGTCATACATTGACCAACTCTCCGCTTTTTCCAACCAGTCCCAGAGTCGGCAAATAATGCACGACGTGGAATTCTTTGGGACGACATTCGTAGAACATGTCCAAGCCACCGAAGTCGATGTTTCAAGATGGTGATACCAATTCCATTATCGTCTCTGCGCCCGAACACACGATACCGAACCTCTGCATTCATGACATAATGTTGCCACTGGATGTCAGCAATCCTTCGGAGACAGCGATGATCGGACACATAGAGTCGTCTAACATCCTCAACTCGGAGAGGCCAGGTTTCACAAGCATAGAGTATAACTGCTCTCACTGATGCGTTGTAGATCCGACTTTTTACAGCCAGACTAACATCACGAAGGTGCCAAAGATGGCCCAGATTGGCATAAGCCGCTCTGGGTCTCACTATACCTGAATCGGTCTCATCACTCACATCACTACCAGCACTAACACAACTATCCAGATACACGAACTTCTCAAATACTAGTATTCACTCACTACTCAGGGTGAGTGCAGGATCAGGGTCCTGTCAGTCTTTTAAAAGTGCTCTGTACTTCGAAGGTGCAAAGCATATACCATACCTACGGACACTAATTGTCGACTGATGAAGTGCGGTTTGGGCACCCGGGCAGCCCTCACAAGTCAAATGAGATCTGTGTGGCGCATATGTATTTGGTGCCTCCTTGTACCAATATCTATGTGTTGAAATAAATAAGTGCTGGTTGCATGGCTTGGATATCGTCTCAGTACGATAATATCATTCTCATACTCAAGGTCGAAGTCTTTCTCCAGTCAACATCTACAACACCTACATCCATCAGATCTGTTTCCAGAAAGTTATCGATAGCAAAGTTGAAGAGTAATGGTGAGATTGGACAACCCTGTCTAACCCCACTGCTTGAGTAGAACAATGGAGGGAGGTAATTGTTTGCTCTTACTCTGCCCTAGGTGTTTGTATACAGGGCTTTTAAGATGTTAATAAAATCAGGTACACTCTTAGTTAGACAATCTCAGAGAACAGTCCTGTCCAACGAATCGAAGTTGGCCCTAATGTCTAAAATAATAGTTTGGTTTTATTGCTTAGTCTCTTGTCTGACACCTCTTACAATCAACATAGAGCGTTATGGCATGCAGTTCCGTGGTTATTTTGAAGTAATACAAGTTGAGGCTATCTCTAAAAATGTACGCTTCCGAATCGGTTATCTTAAGGTTAACATCCCCACTTTTGAGTTCTAGAAATAAAATGCGTGAGGCGTTAGAAGCAAAAAAACAATAATAGAGCTAACAGGCCAAATCATTTTGCTGTGCAGTGTTTGTTTTCTAAAGTAGGTACCCTCAAACAACTTGTAAACTGTGGTATGATTGAGGTCCTTAGGATTCTGAATGTGATGTTGCATCAATGGAATCTTATCTAAAGTAGCTAGATGTTTAGTATATGGGTCATAATGTCAATTATTTTACGTTAGGCTTCTTGATGTGACTTTTGGTGTTTTGGTGTAAGTTTTAATTCTACAATAAAATTACTCACTCAATTATTGTTTGCTTATACGTAATGTTTTCGACTCATGCATCAGTTAGAACACATACTGACGGTTTGAATATTTGTAAAGCACTGTTATGTCACATTTTCTCATATTATGGGCTGCAATAAGTACCTTTTGATTTCAAACTTGTGCTACCTATCTATTCGAAACAGTATATGTTTGTTAACATTAGAAATATGATGTTTTATGTGATTCATAAACCTTATTATAACAAGTACAAGAACTAACAAGCCTTCGCTGCCTCTCGAAGCGTTTCAGTAGCTCTTCTATTAAAATCCAAGGTTAATTTGGAGACCGAGAAATAGATTACGGGAAACGAGGCTAAATGTTAGATTAGGAATGCCTCTCTCAGTAAACTTGAGTATACCACACTGAAAAGTTCTAGGTCTTTTTGGACCACATTGTAGGTCAATAACTACCAGGTATTTTAGTTATAAATTTTAGAGAGTTCGTCTCTAGATACTATCTAATACTCACATCGTTTTGCTTAGTTTTTCAGTTAACAATCTCGAACCATCACGAATGTTCTCCCTTTTGATGACACATTATTTTATTAATAATGGTAGAATTTATTGATGCAGTGTAAGGAAGGATCTTGGGCCGTACTACCTAAATTTCCAAATGAAATCTGTAGATGTTTCGGTTAAATCTACTGCCGAACCATTGCTTCCACCGAATTTGGCTGGATTTGTGTGTGGTGGCATTTCTGGAACAGTTTCCCGAACAGTTACAGCACCTATGGATCGTTTAAAAGTCCTTAGGCAGATGGAAATTCCAGAAATTGTAGGTAAAAACATGGTTTCAAGTGAGTATTGATAGTTTTAAATATATTTTACGCTCAGTGAGTTTTGTCATTTCAAAGTCTTTACAATCTTTTTTTTATTCTGCATTAATAATGGTCTGTGTCCTACCAGTTTTTACATGGTCCTACATACAGTATATTAGTTGAAAAAACCATTGTTTTTGGTTGTTATCTATGGGGTAAACGGTCGTTATGTTTTCTGAAAATATTTGACAATCGCCTGTCTCGCTAAAGCTTCATCTATTAGACTGATATATAGCGTCATTAGTCATTGATCTAATTGACCTCGATAGTCATTAAAGAATTTTTAGGAATACTAATCTCGACTTCTACGTATCCCCCTTTGACCCACTTGTCTTTGACCGATCTATCGTTTTTATATGCCGTTAAGTTATCTAGTTCTCCCAACTTGCACACTATCATGCCGAAAAATTTCATCACTTATAAAGTTCATTTAGGGGTACTCTAACCCTTAAGTATGTTGTAAGATTTTTCTACACAATTTGGAGCTTGATACTTTTCTCACTAGTCCTCAGATGCTATATGGTCACCATTTGTATTCCATTTGTAAACTAGTCTTTCTTTTCATCACCTTATTTCCAAAAACATGAATATGTCTACTTTATGACTAATAAACTTGATAAATCTTATAAACAGTTTTCCTAATTCACTGTTTATGGTAAACATCAGGAACATTTATCCAAGTAGTGTCAATGCCACTCAGTTCTTAAGTTCAGTGTATATCTTTCACACTTGTATTTTAACTCTTCATGTTAAGTATGGACAAAATTATTATCCCTATTGTTGTATTTCTGCCCATACACCTAGAATGAAACCTGATCACGTTGTTTTTTCCTCTACTCTGCCCTGGATTTAATAAGTCAGTTGTATATTCCCATAGTTTAATTTTATTTCGAGCTATAGTCCCTCTTTAAGTCATTCCCTGCAGTTTTTATCAGCTCATAAATCCTGAGTTTATCAAGTGGTCACTGACGAAATAAGGTGGAGACTTTGGTTTCTTGTCCAGTTTAGTTTTACTTTGAAGATTCCAAAGTCTATATATGTGCAACTTAATAGATTTGTGAAATATTCGCATAGGTTAAAGGTAATCGAATTAAACCTTGTGTTTAAAAAAGAACATCTGTCAGTAACAGTTATTTTCTACTGTGTACAGCAGAAATCTGTATATTTATTATCAAGGTACTTTTATCTTCTATGATATTTCGTAGGCTTGCGTATAATGATCAAAGAAGGTGGCATTCTGTCATTATGGCGAGGCAATGGGGTGAATATTTTAAAAAACTGTCCTGAAAGTGCTATTCGCTTTGGTCTTCACGGGTGGCTTAAGTCAGTAATTTTTCCTAATGTAAAAGGACCACTACCTCCAGAAGATCGTTTGTTGGTAGCTAGTTTGTCTGGTGCCACATCGTTAACAATAACTTATCCAGTTGAGGTAAGTTTAATCAAAAGTAAATAGCATAATATTTATTTCGATTGATATTCCATCAATTTACACGATATTACAAGGTTAAATTTATTGGTAATTTGTTTGTTAGAAATGAATATGTTTAACCCAATAATCAATCATTGGCTTATTTAATGGACTGTGAATCACATTTATTGTGAACATTATATTCAGTTTCAGGTCGATATATGACTGAGATCTTATCATTTTACAACTTAGGCAACAAACGATAAATTTATAAAATATTCTAGATCCATCGTAGGCGAAACATAATGACGTTAATCATAAACTCAATGCAAAGTAGTTATGAGATAGGGTAACATACTCAGTGCTTGCAACAAGGTGAAAAATAGAGTACATTTTAAGCCTCTCGTTGATTTTTGTTTATGTCAGCTAAAGTTTTCCGCCACTGATTAGACAGTTACTTTTAACAGGATGGAGCAGTCAGTCATAGTCAACATAGTGTCTGGTGTAAATGGACATCAGCTTAAGTTCCCACCCTACGTCATCACAGTAAGATGAAAGCAAGAAGATAAATACCAAAAGCCAAAATAATAGTGGTATCACTGGTAGTGATAAACACCAAATACATATCATCAGTAAATTCTATTTTAAAGAGTCGTCTTTGGTAAAATTCCACAATTACAGGAGATACTGTCTTGATAATTGTAATAATAAAAGGAATCTAGGTTGTATTATTACTCATCACCATAGTAAAGGCAAATATTATTTTTGATACTTTGAAGTCGCTTATCCGAAATATACGTCTGATTTTAGATTCTAAAAACTCGAATGGCTCTGCGTAGGTCACATGAAGCCAATTCCATATTTTCTGTAATCCGAAAACTACATAATGAGGGTGGTTTCCGAGGATTTTATCGAGGCTACAAAATCAGTATGATGAGTTACGTGCCATATTCTGGAATGGAGTTATGCCTTTATGAGGTCAGTTGTTATGTCTTGATTTTCAGTTAGTGAGTTCTATTTTTGATCTACTCTACATTTTCCGTGTTATGGTAAATTACTTTTCGCCTTAAGCATTTCGGGGTCCCAGTAAATATCTTTCGTAGGGCTTCCTTTGGTTCAAAGGCCCTGTCGAAATCTTATCACTCCTGTAATGTTGGGCTCCTATGAAGTGTTAATCTATGCGATGCTGTAAATCAGCACATAAAAATTTTAAACCACATTTTACATCTAATTAGTTACTAGCTGATACAGCGACGAAAGCAGAAAATAGATCAGAAGTGGAGTGGATATCTTGCTCAACTCTGGTTTTCAGTGTTCCAAATAATCATTATTATTGTTATTTTTAGAAGTTGTCTTCTAAGTCACTTAAAGAATTAACCTGGTTTTCAATATTTCCAAAAATTGTGGATTTATCTGCCTGGCACAGATGTATTGCAACTAATTTCCCTCCGGAACCCAGAAAACGGACAGTAACCGTAAACAATCAGCCAATACTCCATATCAGCATTAAAAACCTGGAGGTACTGGAAGGCTGTATGAGACCCCCCTCAGCAGTGCGCATCCAGGATCCCACACGTGGGACTCGAACGCTTAACTTCTAGATCACTGAGCCGGCATCCAACGGTGTTAATGTAACTATAATTGATCTCGCACAACCCTCGACTCGTGAAGCGAACTTTAAAAACACTACAATATCCCCATGCTGATAATCAACGAATAGTTTACAACATTCACAATCGAACAATGTAGTTCAGTAGTATTGGAATGTTTTGAAGTGGGAAGCTATCTATTGGATCAATTAAATATACAGTAAAAATAATCGAATTTGAATTATGGCTATTCTTCATTGAATATTAAACCATAGCAATTTATTTCTCAATTAATAGAACACTACATTTAACAGTTAACATGTACGTGCCAAAGCGCATACATTGGAAGAAAGAACCAAGAGAAGAGTACATGTTCGCACTTCCGAGCATGTTCTAAATGACTTCTGATCTGTTCTTGCACACACATATATTTTTATTGATAACCTTTGTAATTCCAATTCTCTCGATTTACTTATGTCAATTGTTTCACTCCATATCTAACCTCAATGTAAATTTTATCGCATTTGTTTGTAAGCTGATGAGAAACCACGAAATATAGTGAATTCATGTTATTCTGCATCCATGTTCGTTCTGGCTTTATTTAAATAGTACGCTACTTATGCGGTTTTTTATTCTGCACGAAGTGTGTTTATTTCTGCGTAGTTTCGAACTACAAATAACTAGCTGCTCAAGTTCTTTCTGTTTTGACTGATTGATTAGATAATATAGTCTGATTATAGAATAATTATATTTTCTGTGGAAAAAGGAAATTAACACTGGTAAACCAGAATTGGAAATTTTCTTCATATCAAATCCAAAGCCTTATATACTAGTTTTTTTCAAGCGCCATACCATAAAGTTTCTGAAACAGCATGTTTAGAGTATACTTCTTTTTCATCATATTAAAGTTATTTCTAACTCAAATTTTTCTACATGTGCTTTATTTTTAGATGCTTAAACAGCGTTATGTAGAGTATCATTATTTCCTCCAGCCTAACACAGATCGTACAATGAAGGTTCATATGCCAGCTATGGTAACTGTTCCATTGATTTTAATATCTTGTTGCATTCCAATGATGATTACTTATCCGGCCAATTTACTTCGCACTCGATATCAAGCATCACCATCTCCGTCTGCTGCTCCTATTATCAAATCTTTGTGTTCCATTGTACAGAAGAATGGGTTTAAAGGACTTTATCGTGGGTTAAGTGCTAGTTTGTCAAAAACTGTTCCATCTGTTTGTGTTACTTATCTTGTTTTCGAATTTACCTCTGAATTGTTTGGTGTTCCTGGACTTGGTTGTAAGTAACAAATTCGTAAAATTTGGTGCTCAATTTCTAGAGAAATCAATTAGATGAATTTATCGTACATCCATAAATTTGTATCTTGAGTTTTTCTTACACAAGAAAATTTTTCAGTTGCATTTGATTTCTTTTCCTTCGATCAACTAAAACTTAGGACTGATTCATCTTGTTTTCGGTCATGATGTTGACATATTGAAATGTCTTTCAGTAAGCCTTAATCTATTTTAGTCAATGAATACTGATAAACGATCATTGTGTTTTAGCTGTAGTTTTTTGGAGCATAGTTAAGCTGATTTATATCAGGAGTAGTGTGATTCTTTCTCCTCTTTCTTCATTTTTCCTACACCCTTTACTCCTAAATTTGTTCTTAGTTGTATATCAATGAATTCGCGGTAGTTACCAGTCATTCTTATTCTCGTGTGTCGATATTCACCGCAGAAGTTTCTTTCATTTTTCTGATAGCCTGTCGGTTTTTCTTCTCCTTTGTCACTTAAAGTGAACCAGTTGCCTCTGGTTACATAATTTTCCTTTCTTTTTCAGTTTTTTGTGTTTGTGTTGTCTATTCATTTAGTGGATATAAAATAATCAGTATTCTTATCAAACATTGTATCAGTAAAAAATTTGTATTTAGTTTTCTTTTCAAGATTTTTACAACAATATTCATATTAGTAATCATAAAAATACTTCTATGTATATTGTTTGAAACAAATGTGTAAATAAAATAACTACTTAGATATCTAAAATTCAGCGCTAATTTTCCATGATCTTCGTATTAATCGGGCAATACATTCAACTTTGGATGCAATATTGTCAATAAATTAATATGTCACTTCCAACTTCTCTAGCTCTTTAGGCCATAACTTTTTCTTAGAACTTCTTGAAATGTATCTCAAAACTAGTTAACGTGCACTTGTTATCGAGTGACTTTAGTTTGTACTATCAATTACTTCCAACAACACAAAACTACCTCACTTGATGAGATAATTTCAGTTCATAATGGTTGTTAGTAACAAGAATAATAAGTGACAAACAGCGTTTCTCCCATTCTAAATGCAAATTGTTGCTTCAGGATTGGCCCGCATCAACATCTGAACTACGGATAGGAAATGAAGTAGTCGAGCGCGTTGACACCACTTATTTTGGAAGCTTGATCAGCTCTAATGGGTTGGTGTCTGACGAAATATCTTCGCGGATTCAAAAAGCTCGTTTGGCTTTTGCCAACTTACGTCACCTATGGCGCTAACAAAATGCAGAGTCTTCTGACCACTCAAAGCAACAATGCGATTTTCCCTTACGAAATGTAAAATATTACTTCAGGATTGGATGGCATTGTCACCCAAACTAATGATAGGGAGTGAAGTAGTTGAGCGTGTGAATCCCTTCACTTATCTTTAGAGTCTCATCAGCCCTTGTGGTCTGGTGTGTGACGAAATCTCAGCACGGATACAGAAGGCTCGACAAGCTTTTGCCAGCTTGTGTCATTTATGGCGTAGGCGAGATATCCGTCTACCAACCAAAGGACGTGTTTACTGCACAGCAGTTCGTTCCGTCCTGCTTTATGGCAGTGAAACATGGCCGGTAAGAGTAGAGGATATCCGTAGGTTACTAGTATTTAATCATAGGTGTCTTCGAAATAATGCTCGTATATCCTGGGACCATCGAGTAAGTAATGCAGTTGTTAGGAAACGGGTACTAGGTAGGGATGGCAAATCAATTGATGTCGTAGTGAAACTTCATCAGTTGAGATGGCTGGGACACGTGTTACGTATGCCCAATGACCGCCTGCCTCGACGTGCGATGTTTTGTTGTATAGGAGTAGGTTGGAAGAAAGCTATGGGAGGCCAGACCAAAACATGGCACAAGTCCATGAAGTCACTGACAAGTGGACTGAGTCATGTTGGTAGGTGTAGACTACCTGATTGGGGACCGCGAGATGATATCAACCGATGGTTAGAGATCCTGAATGACATGGCTCAAAATCGTTTGCAATGGCGCAGCTGCATCCACTCTTTGTGTTCTCCCAAATTCTAATCTTCTGTATTCTTTATGTCCCTTTTTTTCTCTTTCTAAATTTATTTCACTGGATTATACTCTTTAAGTAACATCTTCAAACACTAATCTTTCCGATTACTGCTTATAGTCTTATTACCTCTACCACTACGGGATTTGGATCGACCACTGCATCTCTGTGCTAATGTGGTGTGGCAACTCGAACTGATGTACGTACGTACGAAGTTCTACGTTGTTACTGACTGACTGACTCACTTATGGCAAAGATAAGATATCCGCCTATCAATTAAGGGACGAGTATATTGCGCAGCAGTCCGTTCTGCTTTACTTTACGGTTGCGAAATGCGACCATTAAGGGTAGAAGATACTCGTAAGTGACTGGTATCTGGTCACAGATGTTGGTCACATCTGCTAGGATCACCGGGTAAGTTAATAGTGAGGTTAGACGAAGGGTACCAAGGATTGCTGGTAAATCGGTCGAATAAGTTGTGAATCTTCATCGACTAAGATATTTGGGTCATGTGTTACGTATTCTTGAACACCGATTACCACGACGAGCAATGCTGACTAGTGTTGGAGACGGGTGGAAGAAAGTTAGGGGCGGCCAAACTAAAACGTGGCATCAGCTCTTGAAGTCACTAACCTCTGATCTGAGCCATGTTGGTAAATGCAGATTATTTGGTTGGGGTCCGCGCGACTATCGTAACCAATCGTTGGAAACTCTAGGTGACATGGCTCAGAATCTATCACAATGGTATCAGTGTATACACTCTTTGTCTTCCCTTAAACCATGAGATTAAAATTACTTTATACCTTTATTTCTACGAACTATTTCTTCCTGCATTATATCCTTATACAAAATCTTTCTTTTATACATTGCTACCATTGAAGTAACTACTATGAATTTGGTGTTCATCTTGTTGTGCTAATGAGGTATGGCAACTTGGATTGATGCATATATATGCCTGGTCATATGTTGTAGATGATTGACTGACTGATACACCGCAACTATCCAGTTTCTTTAGTTAGCGAGAAAGATCTTTGTGTATAAGAAAAGTTAAAGCTGGAAAAGTGAAATTTCGGTAATGATTCCTAGAAAATACATTCTGAGCGAGAGTAAAGAGTAGTTGGAAGGATGTCTCAGAGTATTTGTATGAGAATTTAGTCACTAGATGAGATAATATACTCACGATTTAAAAATACAAACATAATCATTACAATAATAAATATTTTCGTGATATCTCAATGAGTAGAAAATTGTATTTCTGACGCTTCTTGACTTAATGTAAATCACGGAACGTCAGAAATACAATTTTCTACTCATTGAGATACCACGATATATTTACTATTTTACTTCCTACCCAGTGCTCAATTTATTTGAAGCTGTCACGTCCTACCTTGCCATTAATACCTATAGTTATTACGACAATCAGTTAAGTTTACTTAAAACAGTTTCTATAAACAACTGCCTTCAAAAAACAATTGATTTGTATTACCAATTGTTAGTATTTTCATTAGAATAACTCATTGCTTTTAATAAACATAGTATTAGCAAGTAGATTCAAGTTTCAACCGATATGTGCTGGGAATGTTAACTCCATAAGTATAGCATTGGAACGAAAATACATATTGAAGTAAAGTGATTCCCATTCATTAATTAGTCCTATATGAATCTCCTTCCTTGATTTCCAGTGCAGTGACGACCACTTAGTTTGCGAAACTTTTGTAGTTAATACTAATTGAATTAGTCGATATATCATGGAAAATGCTTTGTATTGATTACATTTACGAAGTAATTAACAAACTGTCTTATATATTTATATATTCATTAATGTTTTCGTTAATTCTGTGAATAATATCCAAGTACTACTACTTTGTTCTTTTTGAATTAAATTAGCTATTTGACATTATGACTATTAGCAAAAAGTTTAAAGTAGTCAGTTTCTAGTATTATTTAAACGGTCACATGCTATATAGACCTCTGGTAATTTGTCCTAACACTGACATTTAATGTCCCAGTAATGCTTGGCTATCTACATTTCTTTATTTCTTTGTAACACAATAAAGTCTGTACTTTTAAATAACTATGTTGCTTTATTGTCACTGTCTTTCTATCTGTTGCACTGATGTCCGGAACTAAAGTTGATTTTCTCGACCAAGTGGGTTTAGATTAATGGATTCGTTGTCATTTTGAGTTTCTCTTACTATCGCCATTCGTATCCACTTACAAATCAGTTATACGCGCTAAAAGTTCTTTTATGTCCTATTAAACCTTACCGAGTTCATCATCGTCAATAGTATGAGTAATTCTCCAAGTCTATTGATTAATATTGGTCTTTACTGCAATATTCATTAATTTTCATTTAACATAATTAAGTCATCTCGTTAGGTAGCTGATTTGAACCCTACTTCACGTACATCAGTTTTAGAAGTCGTTTGAAATTGTAGCAGCTTCTACATTGTTACATACCCGATTAATCCTAACTCCTGGAAGGGCCCCCTAACCCTGTTAACTAGAGGACGAAGACAAGATTCAGCAGGCAATATATGTAATTTCACAAGCAGTCCGGAAGAACGAACAAAAAGCACTCAACTCATGCCTAACATATACAACACAGAAATGTCCTTGAAAAGTGTCATAAAACAGCCTACTAAAATGGGAGACGAACCCATGAAGTTTGAGGTCCCTCCCGGCTGGAAATACAAACTGAAGGGGCAAAGATGAGGAATTCGAATTTCCACAGTTAAAACACGAAAATAAGAGGTTTTTCAAAAGGTTTTTGGTGATCTGGCATCTCCAAGATTAATAAAGTGTGTTTTACGTCGTTCTAATTACTGATAGCTCTTAATAATTCAGAAATCTTACAGCAATAATTGTATGATAAAAACACACGCTTTTTATGTAGGAGTTTATGGATTTTCTAAATACAATTATTAAAAATGAAATATTTTTAAAAAATATATCTACATAGTTTTTGATCATTTTGTTGAACGCCTAAGAAATCAAAATTCGTTAATCAGACACACCTAATCAAGTACGTCTCACGTAATTAACCACGTTTTCAAAAAAAAGTTCATTTGATAATTTAGTATTTTTATTCACACATAATTGAAGCTTTTAATATCAGTGATGTTTGATCGATTCAAATAGTTTTGATTGATTGAGTGTTCTTAGTATTTTGAAGTATAGATTAAAAGGACAAAATATAATGGAAACTAAAAATTCATTTTACCTTTGTATGATAAACAACCACGATTTATTACAGTATTCATAGCTTAATTCATACTTACCATTGAGTTATCTTACAGAATGGTAATATCCTTCAAATAATCAACCTAATATTATAGTCATTTTTAACTGGAATGAAAACAATACGGTACTAACATTCCATGAAAAAGGTTGCTGATTTACAGTAAATATTTCTAATATTTTAATAAACAGTTGAGTGGAATTCAATAAATAATTATTGTAAGAAAACATAATGACCTAATAAATTATTTTACTCAAGTCACAGACCAAATATTTTAGTATATTTCTCTTATTTCATTGTTTGGTATTATGTAGTGTTTGTATGAACTAATGATTCTTTTGTACTTGATGCGTTCCTGATTTTGAATGCTAAGTACAACATTCGTTTGTACTCGCCTAGTTCTGTCTAGCTTAAATTGTGCTATTTCGGGAATTCCTAGTTCGTATAATGATTTGAATACTTCTAATCAGCAAATTTTATTT